TAACAAGTTTGCAAAGAAATATGCATGGATCTAGGCCAGTCAGAGACTTCACAAGTTCTCCCAGGAACAGACAGATCCAGGAGGCAGAACAGCACAGACACTGTGGACTCACCAGCTCCATCAATACACTGCATACGTTTGACATCTATGGCCTGCTGCATGTAGCACCAGAAAAACACTGATTCACTAGAAATATCTATGCAGTTACAGCAAGACAGACCACACTCTGACCCACATGACACAGTTAATAAATTTACAAGTATAGAAAACATACATCTGCTTTTAATCCACAATCCAATTAAAACTAAAAATAACTAATTGGAAAATACTAATACTTTGAGATATTAAACAACACACTTTTAAGTAACACATGGGTCAAAGACAGTATCTCAAAAAAACTTTTTAAATATTTTAAAATAAAAATGAAAATACAGCTTATGGAAAATTGTAAGACATAAGACAGTGCTTATAAAGAAGAATAATAGTACTAAATGAGAAAATCTAAAAATCAATAATCTAAGTACCCATTTTAGATAACAAATATATAAAAAGAGCAAATGAAATCCAAAATTAGGAAAAGAAATAATAAACGATGAAAATCAGAACAGGAGAAGAAAAGCATCTATAAAGAAATACTATGGCTGGAGTGGTGGTGGTACAGGCCTTTAATCCCAGCACTCAGGAGGCCGAGGCAGGCAAATTTCTACTTTGAAGCCAGCCTGGTCAACAGAGTGAGTTCTAGGACAGCCAGCGCTACACAGAGAAACCCTGTCTCAAAAAACAAACAAAAAAGAAATACTAAGAACAAACTCTAAATTTACAATTTTGATGATATAAATGAACAGATAAACTCTACAATTCTATGATAAATACTACACACAAGAAAAGAACACATAGGAATTGGCGTGGGGGATGGGAGGAGAGGGTGGTCAGGGTGCATGTGAGGGGGCAAAGAGGGTAAAAGGGAGGGAGAGAGGGAGGGAGGGGGAACTGGGATCGACATGTAAAATAATAAATTAAATTTAAAAAAGTATAAAAAAAAAGAACACATAAGAAAAAAAATAATCTATAAAAGAAATCAAACCAATAGTTAGTGACCTTCCAAAAGTAAAGTGTCATGCCTAGATGGGTTCATTGGTGAATTCTACTTACCACAAGGAAAAAATTATATCAATTCTGTACCATCTTTTTGAAAAGAGAGAAGCTGGTGGAATATTTCCTAACTTTGTGAGGCCAGCAACCCACAATACATAAACTACATAAAAATATATGAAAACTATAGACTACTATCTCTATTCATAAACAAATGCAAAATATTAACAAAATATTCAACAAAATATTAACAGCAAATCTAACAATGTACAAGAATATGTGTTGTCCAAATGGGACTTATTCCATGTGCAACATAGAATTTTCAACATTGAAAATCAACAAATGTAACCCACCTTTATCATCAGGCTAAAACAAACAAACAAACAAAAACCCACCACATGATTACCAATATATCCATTCCTAAGATATCGGGTCTTCTTTCCTACTTGGTCTAAGCATTCACTATCACCCCAATGAAAAGTCCATCAGGTTATTTTATTTCAACAAATTCTACATGGAGAAGCAAATGGTGTGAAAGAGCCAACATGATACTGAAGGACAGCACTGGAGGACAAAGCCTCCTGATTTACACCTTTAAAGTCACAGAATTCAGGGTACAATGTTGATGGAATAATAATAATAAAAAAGCAGACAGATTAATGGAACAGACCCAAAAAAAGATTTGACTGATCTTTCACAATGGCAATAAAATGGACAAACAACAATATTTTCAATAAATGTTTCAGTGTTTGGACATGAAGAAGAAAGAAGAAAGAAGGAGGAGGAGGACACAGACTTTATATTCTTTCACATAAAAGAACTCAACATGGATCATAGACCTAATGGAAAATAGTGAAAGCATAAAACTCCTAGAAGACATCACAGGAGAACAACTAGATGACTTGAGTTTGGTGACAGTTTTTTTTTTTTTTTTGGATACAGCATTAAAGTAAAGGTCATTAAAGAAATGTGTTAAGCTAGATTTGCTAAATTAAACACTCTAGCGCCTAGTATGGTAATTCAGTCTTGTAATTCTAATACTAAGAAAGCCAAGGCTGGAGGATCTTAACTTAACAGAAAGAACAACATAGTGAAACCCTGTATCCAAAACCACAAACACTCAATTAAAAAATAAAGAGGCCAAAGACCTTTATTTATGAAGGGCTGCGCCACTTTGCATGTGACACAAATTACAACTGTCATGAAATGACACCACAATACCAATGGTGGCAAAAATATGGACCAATAGAAACCTATTCATTGCTGGTAGGGGAATGCAAAATCATGGACTCTTCAGAAGACACTCAGGAGGTTTACTGCAAAAAATAAGTACAATCTCACCACACAATCCAGAAACTGCCTAAAGGAGCTGAAAACCTACATCTGTACAGATGCATGTTTATAGCTATATTCATTACTGCCAAAACTTAGAAGAAATCCAGTCCTCCTTCAGTAGGCAACTATTAAATAAACTATGGTACAACGGGGCTATGGATTTTAATTCAGTGCTAATACATAATGCGTCATCAAACCATGAAAAGAAACATTACTAGGTGAAGGAAGCTGATCTCGTAAACGCCACCAGTGAAAAGATTCCAACTCTGTACCTTCCAGAAAAGGCAAGCTATATACAGCATGAGAGGTCAATGTAAACTACAGACCTTGGATGATAATGACGTATCATTGTAGCCCATCACTTATAGCATGGGTACCATTCTGTTGTGAAATATTGATAACGGGGAAGAACTTTGTGTCTTGAATTTTGATTGCATAAAAAATAAAATTTTCATTAGGCAATAAAAATGACCATAAACTGATTTCATAGAAAAGCTAAGGTGTCAAAGGTATATGCCAACTATTTCAAATTGTCCTCTAACCTACATGCAATGCTCTACCATAAATAAAAATGTAAAAATTCAGACTATAAGGGAATTAGTGAAACTGAAGTGATCAACAAGAAGCTCCCACATATAGTTAAGTGCCAAGACAGAAGTATCTAACAGCATGTATGTATAAGCCCATTTCTTACAAGGAATGGAATAATATTGGGCTTAATAAAAACAGTCATTTTAGGAAAACAAAATGTCAAAATACTGTCAATTACATGATAGTGTTTATACTTGTCTGGGCACTTCCTGTTTGTGATGCAGAGCAATAGCATGGCAGCCCCCAAGGAAAACTGCTGTGCCGTGAGGGCGAGCAGCTCGTTAGCACACTCCATGCCGCTCTGCCTTTTCCTGGGCAGGCATTTTCCTCTCCAATAACTGATTAGTGGTGAGATTGAATAGGATAGCTCTTCTCAACAGGTTACTACCATTTCCTTTTCTTTTCTCTGGGGTGGCAATTATTTTATCAATGCTTTACATGTTACATGAAATTGTTACATGAAAATGGTTAAATTCATACTGGTGGTAAATATAGAGACACAGCGGGAATGTGATGCCATTTTTTTTTAAATTTTCTTTCTCTTAAGTGTTTTTAGAAAATATTGTTCTTTAAAAATTCTGAGATCTGTTTCCCAGCCTGAAATTTAAGTCCCTATACCACTCCCTACCTGTGAACATTTGGATTTTTTTCTTTCTTTGGCAATGTTGTCTTATGCATGTTAGCACCAAGCAACATTGCAAGTTCACAACTGAACCTTTGAGTAGCATAACTTTAAATTTCAGTTAACTAGTAATCAGCAGAACTTTGATGCTAGAAATCAAATTTTCAAAACTAAATTAAATCCAGTCTTTTCCCAAGGAAATTCTAAGTGTCAGATTGAGTTGATCAAACCATTTAAAGTGTCTGGTATTCTAAAACCATAAAAATGTTATTTGCCTTCTGCTATCAGTTGCACACCAGGTGAGCCCTGTGAATGAAAGGATGGTACATAAGTTCTTCGATTTGCAGTGGCGTTACATAACATTAGGGCAATCATAACTTGAAAGTATCTTATGTGAAGCCTAGCCTGTGGTGGATCCCAGCTTAGCCACACAAGAAGGCTGCACCGCACACAAGTGGCTCTTTACTAGGCTCACTGGCAACTGTGGCTTCCTGCTGCTACCCTCCATTGCGAAAGCATATCCTGCTGCATATCGCCAACCAAGGAAAAGACCCAAACTCAATATGGTCTCTGCTGAATGTTTATCAGTTTGCACCATTATAATGTGGAAAACTACAAGACCTGTCAGTGTCGTCAGGGAGCATCCGTAATCCTGAAAAGCCAACATCCAGGTAGCCGCCCGTGACCAGTGCTCTTTCTTCCACGCAACCCCACCCTTTCTTCCACCTTCCCTTCTGCACGTTCCTCCACAGCTTGTCATTTCTGCAAGTTAGTTCTTCACCTATCTTACTCTCACCAAGTTCTCTTATAGCATTACGATTATTAACCTAGCCCTTCTAACATGTATTCAGAGAAGGAATGGTTTCGTACAATTGGTGTTTCCTATCCACAATGTCACAATGTTCAGGTATGATGTGAAGATTTGTGCTCAGTTTTATTGTATTTTGTTAGGCCATGTTCAGTGGAGATCCCTGGAAGGTCTTTTTTTTGTTTTTTTTAATTTATTTTTTAAAGGGAAACAGGAGGAGTTGATCTGGGGGAGAGGAAAAGTGTGGGGAGAGACTGGAAGGAGTGGGAGTGGAGGGAGGGGAAAGTGTGGTCAGGATGTAATGTATGAGACAAGAATGAAAGTTAAAACAATAATAACAACAACAACATAATGAAATATATTTTAAAAAACTCTCCAAGTCACCATTTTCCTAACAATTTTACATAGCAACTAACAGTATTATACAGCGATGGAAATACTACTTAGCATTAAAAATACAATAGAATTAAAACAATACTAACAAAAATATTTCACCACAGAAAAATCTTGTAATTTTTTTATTTTAAAGTTCCCATATAATAATGTATTTACCTGGTAAAAACTTCAAAGTTTGCAGCATCTGTCTTTCCTGAGAGAAATCCACCATTAAATGTGTCATGTTATCACTGACTTTTGGTTTCAAAGACAGGCGAAAGGCTGAAGCCATTGTGACTCTATGATAAACACAGATAAACTTTTTAAAATAAACGAATGCAAAGTAACAAATTTTACATAATTTATAAAATTAAGACAAAAATTATCTCACTTAGTGACTGTAGAAACTGTATCAAAGGCAGTCCAAAAGAAATTTGCTTTGTCTTGAAAACTGAATCAAGAGCAGATTACAGCCAGTTTTTAAAATTTTCACAGATAGATGACTATCACAATAAACAATGTCTAATATAAGAACTGCTTACAAGATCTCATTACCTGAACCTCTATATACAGTCTCACCGACTTCCTAATGCTAGCCTCATTCATTTTCACCAAACAATGAGCCTATTACAAACACTCTCCCAGCTACTGCTGCACCATGTGCTCTTACAACAGTACAGGCGGAAGGACCTGGCATTATATACTGCAATACCTGCTAATGACAGACCATGAATGTCAAAGGAGAAAACCAAGATCATTAACAGTGAGTTCCATACCACCAAGACATCATTCTCATCACTCTACATCAACTACATGGAAAGACACTACATGGAAAGAAGCTGCCTAGTGGACCCATAGGTCATTGAATAAGAAGTGTTCAATAAACACTCAGATAAATGTGAAGCGAAGTACAAAATAAGAATCAAGCCAAATCAGATCTTGCAATATAAAAGTATAGGGGAAACTTCTTAGGTAAAACTGAAATTTTAAAGCAACTCATATGCTGATGTGGAAAAGGAAAGCCATTTGATTATTCCTGTTTGTATCTGCTTCTCTTCAGCTATCCAAATGAGTGAATTCTTTTTTCCATGCACAAAAAGAAAAGAAACCCTTATTCAATTAACTTGGGACTCAATCATAAATTTCATTATTTTCATGTTAAAGTAAACTTCACAAATAGCACAATCAGTCCTATAATATCCTTGGAGAAAAAAAAAAAAAACATACAGAAGTTCTATTCACTAATAGTCTCTTCCTAGTACACAGTTTGAAAGAGGATATAAACAGAGCTACAAGAACAAAGGGAAGACCAGGCCTAGTCAATTGGATCTGCCACCAAGAAACCAACTGGATGAAAGATGACAAACTTGATGATGTCAAGCTGTTGCTAAATTCAGTTATTTTACTTCATTAAAAAACAAAGTCATCACTGTAATATAACAATGAAAATGCAGCAGTTATTTAGTTCATCAATAAAAAAGTGCAATATTGTAATTCAGTTCATGAGGAAGGCAACTCCCACTGTCTGAATGCTTCAGACACCAAGTGCACACTGATCCTGCACACGCCCAGCACTAAGCTGCTGACCTTCAAAGAATATTTTGATTTCACTGTAAGTCAAGATGAGTGCTCAGCTGTATCCGTGCTGCTGTGTACAGCCCTGAATGGCACTGAAGAGTCCTAGAGCATGACGCTGAGATGAGATGGCTCATAGATGCTCAATCAGTGAATGGGTTTAAACTTGGCTGCATTCTTCTAAACCCAATGAATAAATTGCTTAATAAGAAATGCTGAAATCTACAAAATCTACAAAACCTTGACATAATCAACAATGCACACAAAGAAAAAGAATGCCCCCCAAATGCAGTAGAAATGTCACTTGCAATAGAAAAAAGAAAAAAAAAAGTCTAGATAAATGAAATCTTAAACACTTACATGAATTGTCAGACAGTGGTGACACACACCTTTAACCCCAGCACTTGGGAGGTAGAAACAGGTGGATCTCTGTGAGTTCAAGGCCAGCCTGGTCTACATAGTGAGTTCCAGCATAGCCAAGGCTACACTGAACAACCTTGTCTCAGAAAAACAAACAAACAAACAAAAAAAACTTAAAAAACTTATGTGAATCAATTCAGAGGTACAACAATAATAAAAAATTATTTTTAAACTGAACATATTTAGACAAGTTAGCCTTAAGGTCTAAAATAAAAGTCTAAAATTGGTAAGACATTCTCAAACCTTGCTGTTTGGTATGTTTTAATTCACTTTAACTTTCTTAGATTATTTTTGATAGGAGCAACTGAAGTAAAAGATTCTTTCTTCCTGGTGTTATTACTGTCACAAGAAAATAATCACAAAACAAATGAGCACACTTAATCAATTTTTAAAAATGGGCCAAGACCTAGAAATACTCTCCAGACATGGGGCAAATGCTCCATGGATAGCCAAACAAAGAAAACAGTGTAGGCTTTAAACAAAACAGAAGAAACAAGGACTCCGATTCCTGTGATGTCCGGATACTGATGTGATCACATTGAGAGGCTGACTGAGAAAGGCAAAGATGGGACAGAGGGTTCAGTGAGGAGAGAAGACATAATAGCTGGCATTGACATTAAATTCTGACAAACAAACCTGAACAGAGGTCATCAGGAGTGAAGATGAGAGCTGAGGAAGCACAGAAACAGAACCCTGAAATAAAGGAGATTTGACAAAGTTTCTCAAGATTCTTGGCACAACCCAAAACCTTGTTAGGAATTGATTTCTAAACCAGAAAAATCAGGAACCATAGTGAGATGTAATGGAATAATGGTCAGTAAGGAGTAATAATCTAGCCTGGGTGTAATAGGCTTGTTTCAGGTTAATCTCAGTAGACGAATCTACCTTATCATGGGCTTTGCTCTCACCCATTCTTCACATAGCACTCCCTGAGCACACAGTGTGGACCTACAGTCCCGATTACTTGAGACCTGAGGCAGGAAGCATGCTTGAACCCAGAGTTCAAGGCCAGCCTAGAAAACAGTGAGAATCATCTCTTAGAACAACAAACCCTAGTGATGTCCCTATATCCAGCACTTAGAATAATGACCACATCATTAGTCACTTCATAATATAGCATCTACAGAAGTGGACATTAGTATTCATGTTAAGAATGTTTTGACATTATCTTGTCCCCTCTCCCACATCATCCAATAACCACAAAAGAAACACAGTAAAGAATTTCTCCAAATGAACAATGGACGCTGGTTCTCACACAATACAGAGTATTTCTGTGAATTACCTGATGAAGAATGAACTGATCTAGACTTGAAGAGACTGAAGAGTTGTGCCTCTCAGAGACTCTCATGATCATGAGATAAAACCCTTAAGTTACAAACTACATACAATGCTCAGTGACTAGGCAGACTGTTCAGTGACACTCCCAATGTTACCTCAGCTTCTTGAACACTCACAAATTGTTCCAGTAAGTGCTAAATGTTCTGTATATTCCCAGCACTACCAACGAGAGACACCTTCTAAGCCAAGGTACTTAACAGCTTTCCTGAGTTTTTTTCCTACATTATAAAAACAAGACAGTGGTGGCATTAGAAGTAGAAAGTGGTGGCACCAGAACAGGACAGAGAGAACACAGAGGTGTTAACCAGGACAGCAGTAAAAAGCCTCAGCTCCTGCAGATGCTTAGTAGCACTGGGCTTCTCTGAAAACAAGATCTACTTACATTTAAGAACAGCAGCAAAAACTGCATCCCAGCAAGATGTACTTTAAGTTATTTAAAATAGATCAATCTTCAACACTATACTAATTAAAAACTATTCTAAAACTAAAGCTAACTATATTATTAAATCAGAAATGAAATTCTCTTAGAAATAAGTAATTTTCACAACTTAAAATGTGACCTTAAAAAGTATATGGACTATTCTATGATATACAGAGCACATTTTCTTTACTTTGTACTTAATTATTATATATAGTTATTTCATCAACAGTATTCTAAGAAAAATGGTTTCAGAATTTCATTTCTGACTTTAATATTGACACTTTAATAAAAACAAAATGTAGGTTTTATACCATACCTATCCTTGATCTGTCTGGCAGCCTTGGAGCCAATCAGGGAGAAGAGAAAGAAGGTAGTTAGTGCTTTTCATGCAAGTTCAATGGCAGTGACATGCAAGAAAAGTTAGCATATAAACCCTGTGACAGATTAGTTCATAATTCATCAAAAAAATAAATGACAGGAAATCTATATAGTTCATGTAAGCTTAATAAAGTGATGTTAGGATCACAGTAGAATTGAGACCCACCCCACCCCAACCACCATGAAAGGAGGAAAATTTAACATTTCAACTAATTTCATGGAACTATAATTGTGGTTTTTTTTAACATAAGATTATCAAAATACACCTTTACTTGTGTTTGGTTTGATATTCTTCAACTGAAACAATTTCTTTCATAGATACCCATTCCTACACATTCTGATAGTTTTTGTGTATATGAAAACTTCTCTGCTGGCATACAAAACTAGACTATAGTTTTAGCCTTTGCACCCAAGAGATGAGTTCTAATAGCAGAGATTCAGACAAGTAGAGATGAGAGAAATATCTCTTACAAGTGGGTCGTTCCTTCAGAGAGGCTTACAGAAGCTAGCAACTTACAACTACTGTATGTATCCTGTGTTTTTGTTTTTAGAAAATGAAAATACAAGTTTAGGAAGGGTTCCTAGTCACTATCCAGTTCTGTACAGTCAGAGAACAACAATGAAGTCACACAAAAACCATTGCCTCTTTATATATGAAGGAAACACAACATATCCAACAAAAGATTTTCTTCTATGCTAACAAGCATAGTTAACAATTATAGCTGACAAAGATGGCTGTTTTGTTAGCATACAGCCTGGTACACAGTAATACTTAATAATTGAGTACAGTTGGATGTAAATTAGAAGTATAAAGTGCTGCTTCTGTTTCTCTTATCCTTCAGTCCTAACATTGTTTCTACTTGTGATAGGCCATTTTTATACCCGGCCTCAACTATTTTGGCCTGAGTACCATTCCAAACAAAAGAACTGAGGTTTAATATACATCACAACATACTACAGCTCCAGCATTACCAGTAATCAACTCTATGGCCTTGTATATTAATCATTTTATTTCTCTACTAGGGAATTGGGGTTTTTAATGTTTTTAAAAACAAAAAAATCCTTTCCAAGATCCACATACTTCAGCGAACCCAATGTGGTAGATCTCCAATATCCTTAAGTCAGGAGCCTAGTTTGGCACAGTCTCTTTTGTAAGTTAGTCAACTATTATATTGGTTTTAAAAATTACTGTCATGGCAGCTGGAATTAATGGTTTTCATACAGGTGTAACAGGAGAGAAAAAGAGACTCCCCTCTGCATGCAACACTTCTTTACATACAGAGGAAGTGTCACTGTCCTTACCCTTCTTCATCTAACACTGACAGCAGATGATGAGTTTAAATGCACTCGCTTGTACCTCTTACTTTTCTTGTCCACAGAGAATATGTGTTGTGTTCTTCTTGCTCTGTTCTGTCAGAGTAACTAAAAGAGCCCTTCCCACCCCCAGTGACCTGAGGAAGTCTCTACTGAGCACTCTTTGGTAGGTAAGTCAATTCTGGACTTAGGTAGTTAGCCTATTGATGTTAACAATACTCACTAATATTAGAGCAGTACTTGGTTCTTCTCGGTTTTCCTGTTTTATTCATTTCCTGATGGATTTTGAACTTGGTTGGAAGAATATTGTTTCCCAGTTTCCCCACATGACCCATTGAGAGTAGACTATCATTGATTCTGATTTGTATCTAGTATGGGCCATTTTTGTACACATGTACATACATATGCACACAAAGCCTCTATGGCATCATTTCACATACCATGCTGTTTGTGGGGGTGGGAGCAACAGAGAAGGAACAAACGAGAAACCATATAACCTAGGAGAAACTGTTGTCCAGTGTTTTTACATATGACACACAATGAAAATTCTGTGGTTCCAATTCAGGTTCACAATTTATTTTAAATGCATCTGTAAGCACAGAAGATGAGAAGTCACCTCTACAATAAGGAAAAAAGTCTCAAATTCTAGAGCTGTTTATCTAAAATGGCCCAATTTCAAGAAATATCTTTAAATAAAGAACAAATTATTTTTTCTGGGAATTGTTCTCCCAAAGAAAGCCATTTAAAGTTTTTCCCCCATATACTTTCATTCCTCTGTTTTAATTCCTTTTTTTCTTTTCTTTTGTTCTTTTCCTTTTTTTGTTTTTTGTTTTGTTTTTGGAGACAGGATTTCTTTGTGTAGCCCTGCCTGACCTGGAATTCCCTCTGTAGACCAGGCTGCTCTGGAACTCACAGAGACCTGCCTTCCTCTGTCTCCCGAGTGTGAGTGCTGGGATTAAAGGCAGGACCCAGCCATCACCTTCCAGCTCCTATGTTTTACTTTCAAGAGTGATGATTTTATAACTCTATCTCTGAACCACTAAGACTACAATTTCCCAGCACACTGCTGCTACAATTTACTCGTTCCACTCACCAATCAGAGGTGCACCTGGGTGAGAGAGCTTGGCTTTCTCTGAAGTCATACAGTTCTCTCCTCTCTATCATTTACCTTTGTTTTGTTTTCTGAGACACAGTTTCATACTGTAGCCCAGTCTGGCCTCAAGCTAACAACAATCCTCCTGCCTCAACTTCTCAAAGACTGGGATCACAACCCTGAGCTAACACACCTAGTCTCTGCTTTTTAAATTAATAATTGCAATCCTTTATCAGTTTTAGGAACCTGTCATCCTAGGCCAAAGTTACTAAAGTAGAACTGCAAAGGAGTAAAGGACTTAGAACAAATAATTGTTCATAATTACCAACTAAGTTCAAACAATCAAAAACAGATCTTTGCTGAACCTTGTTCTTAATCTACAATGAAAAGATAAAGAAACTAATGTCTTCTGTGAATTTTTCAGGCATTTTGAATACTTTGTTTCTACACTTTAAATACCTGGGGACTATGGATATTGCTCAGTTGAGTAGTGCTTGCCTAACATGCGTACTGTCCTAAGTCTGACCTCTAGCAATATAAACTTGAGCATGGTGGTGTGTGCCTCAATCCCAGAACTCAGGGGGTGGAGCCAGAACAGGAGTTCAGGGTCTGCTTGAGATACACATGAACCCTGTCTCAAAACAAGCAAACAAATAAGCAGCAGCAAGACTAGGCCATCTTCCTAACAATTTACAGAACAGATGTTTTGCTGTCTGGGATCAATGTCAGGCTGTGTGGCAGCATTCAAAAACATCACAGTAATGGTGGATTTCCTGTCTGGTCTGTGGTTGTATGAAACCACTGTCAAACCACTAAGATTACATTTATACATGTTTCATTTTCAGGACTTTTAAGTAACCTGGGATATTATTTCCCCAAATAACTTTGCTTCCTGTGGCACAAGGCCCACATCACACCCACTTTAATGGCAGTACCATTGCTAACTACACCAGAGTTATCTGTGGTGGGGAGAAGTGATGCTTTTCACAGCACACTAGCAAATAAAGGGTGGCTCTCAGCTTGGGTGCTGATGTGGCCTTCATGGAAGCCCTTCCTTTTCCTTTTCCACACCTTCCTTTTCTCTTCCCAGTTCAAATAACTTTTAATCCTGCATGTCCCTGAGCATGGGCTGTGAGCACATGGACGTCCTTGTCTCACCTTCTCTCTTCATCCTTTTCTCCTGATGAAAAGTGTGTTTGCTTCCACGGGTCCCTATGTCCAGCAGAGAGGCAGCACCACTCACCGCAGAGGTTTTCCATGCTTTCTGTTGCTGCCCCTCTTTGCACATGTCTTCAGAGTCTTTCCCATTTGTATTTTCCAGTAAGGTTGCTCAGTCTTCAGATGAACCTTTATTTTTTCTTCTTCAAATGTTCATGAATCTGAAGTTTCTTTTTTTTATGTAACTCCAAAAGGTTATTAAAAATATTCATTTGTGGCATGTGACATCATAGGTCACAGGTGCAGACTCCAGAGTGTGAAAAAGATCCTAATGTTTGAATCTCAGGAACCTACTGACTTTGCCAAATATAGGAAAGTGTATTTCTTCCTAACATTGTTTTTTTTTCTTTTCATATAAAGAAAAATAAAGAAAAAAGGAGAGAGAGAGAGACAGAGATATATCTCAAAATGTTCTTTTTCCTTTAAGCAAAAATGCTAACTTTACCATGTAAGGAGGCAGAAGCAAGTGAATCTCTGTGAACTTTAGCTCTAAGCCATCCTGGTCTACATATCAAGTCCCAGGTCAGCCAGGTCTATGAAGGGAAAACTTGTCTTTTCTTTTTTTCTTTTTAAGACTTTTGGAAAAGGTTGCATACCTATTGATTCTATACACTAAAGGATTTGGATGTGTGTGTATTTAACTTGTGAGAATGTATGTATGTATGTATGTATAATATATATATAATTTTCTCATAAATGTGCTATTTTTCAAAACATATGACCAGGGCTGGAAGAGATGGCATGGCTTAGCGGTAAAGAACACTTACTGCTTTTGCAGGGGACCTAAGTTCAGTCCCCAGAATCTACAGCGTGTTTTACAACCCCCTGTAACTCCAGTCCAGAGATCTGATTCCCCACTTCTAGCCTCTGAGGGTACATACATACATGCAAGCAAAACACTAATACACTGCAAACAAACGAACAAATGCATACATGCTCACTTAAAAGTAAACAGCCCGAAACTAACATATGTACAGTACTGCTCACACCTTCTTTATAGCCAGCACATCTGTACAGTAGTCTACATTTCTGTAAGATACCAAAAACTCACAAATAAAAGGTAAGGTTCTATTCTACCGATATTTAGGAAATATTGCAAAGCTAAAGCACACTTCAATTAAAGAATTAAAGGTTCTTCTCTGCTCTCAGCATTGCTGACCAGCTTAAAGAACCCTCTCAACCCTCCCTGCAGAGTATGACTGAGCTCCATCTGTCTGCTCTTCTCAATGCTCAAGAGACTGACACGCCTTGAGAGTATACCAGGAGTGAGTTATGGCGAGTGAGAAAAGGGAATAAGCCCATTTTCTTTCATCATCTGTGATCAAATGCAGAAGACATTGTTCCCCTTTCATAGTGCCTTGTAGCTGTCATTCCACAGTAGGTACTCATGGGCAGGAAACCATTCTTTCCTTTTTAATCTGACAAATGGTTGGAAGGAGGTGGATAATTATATATTGACTTGGAAATTGTTCTGGTCAGTTCTTTTCATTGGAAGAGTTCAAGATTGAATTCAAGATGAAAATAGGAATGTTAATTTTTTGACAAAGGATCCAAGCACTGTTCTGCAAGTGAGGTACTAGTGACAGGAGAAACCAGAGTCTGTGGAGTCCTGGCTATTTACCTAGTAATCCAGACCTCATCTGAACTTTTTGCACATATTTACTATCAACCAAACTTTTAATATTAAAAAAATAGTGTGAAACATGTTCTAAAATCCTATCATGTTTGTATCATTTTTACTTGTTCACTTTGAGATCATATAATGCTGGTAAATGGAGGCCCTTCAGATCCAGATCTCATTTTAGGAACAGGAACACGACAATTTAAATAGCAGAACTTGAAGATAAAGAAGTATGAGAAGAATCATTGGTGGGTTTTAGCCAAGGCTATTTTATTGTTGTTTCCAATTATATTAGCCCAACATAAAGACTTTAATATGGGATATTTAAAAACAGTGTGACTGAAAGAATTGGTTTTCCCAGCTTTATAACAATTTACCACTTGTCTACTAATTGTACTTCAAATTTATCCCATATCATTCTTTCAGTAGCTAAGCAGCTTGAAGTAGGCCTTAGAGGATTATGACTGGGCTCAAGTACTAAAGAACCTTTACAACAAATGGGTACTGGGGATATGACTGAGAAAACATGGCTCATTTAAATTGGAGAGAGAGACAGACAGACAGACACACACACACACACACACAGAGAGAGAGAGAGAGAGAGAGAGAGAGAGAGAGAGAGAGAACTAAGATAATCAATTTCTGATCCTAAAGACACATACTCTTAAAAAAATACTTTGAAATAAGTGAATACCTTGTACTTTATTTAGCAAAATCCCCAAGACCTTTTCAGTATCAGAAACAACAAAAGTCTTCTTTAAATACTCCTTCAGTATACTATGATAGGGCTTTTTATTTCTGTTTATTTTCTTTTTGTTTTGTTTACCTTTGAGAATTCTTCAGGTTCCTTTATATCTAATGACCTGGTTGCAAATTCTAGAAGTTCTTCGGAGTTTTCCAGGGCATTATTACATTGGCTAAGCTGACTCTAGGGGAAAACACAATACCCAAATCATTAAAATGAACTTTTCTACTGCCAAGCTCAAATACATGCTATAATACATTTAAGGAGATTTTAATGGCAATAATTGAATAAATATACTTACATCACAGAGCAACTGAAGAAGGATAATTACCATCAGTTATATATATGACAAAATTGCTTCTTTTCCTATAATTTATCACAAACTAGGACTGGCAAGATGGCTTAGTGAATAGAAGCATTTGTGGTCCAAGTATGACAATATGAGCTTGTCCCACAGTGGAAGGTAAAAACTGACTTGAAAAAGTTGTCATTGGACCTACAGGCACACATCGCCCATACTCTCAGAAATGAGTATTTTTGAAAACTTTGCTACGTGCAGATAAAAATATTGAGTACATAATTTAAAACAAAAAGACAGATAAAGCAATTATAAGTAAGATGCAATTAATTTAAAGTTTCTTAGTAGTCAAAAACTGTGTATAATATAAAAAAATCAGAATAATCTACCTGCGGAAAGCAACCTTTGTAATGAATACTGAATTTCTTGATAATGTTTAACTATTTAAGTTAGCAAGTCTGGGCCCACTTATGTATGATTCGAGTATTAAAAACTATTTTGATCATGCCAGACCACCTGAAACAGAGTACAAGCTAATCCTACATTCAAAACAGCTGGACAAAACAGCCCTACAGACTACAGCCAGGATATCTGAATCTTCTTCAATTCCCCCTAGACAGTGCCCCTTACCAGCAGGAAGTAGTTTGGAAAGAACGACGCCCAAATTCCCAAATATTGTGTATAAATGTTTGTTTTCATTTAATTGGACTTTGTTATATAAAATTAAATAAAAAAATAATAAAAAAAACTATTTTGAACTGTAATTTATACTTATAGAACAATGAAAAGAACCAAGAGTAAAAGGCAAAATATTGAATATGAGAAAATATTTCCAAATCATATCCGACAAGGGTTATCATCCAGTACAGCCACGCTGAAAACAAAGTTAAAAAAATAAAAATATAGCAAGAATGCATAAAGAAAGTCTGACTTTAAAAGAACAAATAAGTTACCAAGTAAACAGGAAAAATAAAAATTCTTGAAGCAAAATACATAGACATTAGCTAGTATATAAAAACTGTTTACCCTCTCTAATCACTAGAAAAATGGAAATTAAAACCATAACAAAATACTGATTCATAGCCAGGCATAGCAGTGTATGCCTTAATAACAGTACTCAGGAGGCAAAGGTAGATGGATTTCTGTGAGTCTGAGGCCAGCCTGGTCTACAAGTGAGTTTCAGGACAACCAGAGCTACATATTTAGACCCTGTCTCAAAAATCCAAGCAAACAAACAAATGATTCATACCCTTTTATAATGTCTGCCACCAAAAGAAAACAAAACAAGAAAACAGGAAACAGATGTTAATAAGAATGAAGCAGCTAGAATCACTGCAAGCTGGTGGGAATATCAAATAGTGCAGGCAGTGAGGAACAGAATATGCGGTACCTCAGAGAACTAAAGGGTGGCTGCCACATGATCAGCACACGGACTTCTGGGTACACAGCCAAAAGAATGAAAGATATATCTTCCCGTTCACACTCGTTGCAGCACTGCTTACAAGTGAAAGGTATAAACTGCTCCGGGCCCATAGACAGAAGAACTGGCAAAGATGATGTATATAAAGAAAAGTTACTCAGCCATAAGGAAATCTTGGCAACTGCTAGAGCATGGACAAACCTTGGGAACATTATGCTAAAATTGCACAGTCACAAAAGGATGTTGTACAATTCCACTTTCATGAAACATCTAAGTAATCAAAATAATGGGGCAAATGGCTCAATTGCCAGGAGGAGATGATGGAGGGGAAGTGAGGACTGTTATTTCAGGGGTGAAGAATTTCAGCTTGGTAATAAGAGGGAAAAGTTCGTGAATTCTGCTGAAACAGTATGAACTGAAACGCTATATTTAACATGGCTGGCAGTAAATCTTGCTATTTTTAATCACAATTTTAGAAAATATTAAAGATGTTTATGATCCAAGCCATTAAAAACCACTCTGGCAAGACAAAGATACGGTTACACTCAGGTGCTTGTTTCGGTTTCAAGAATCCCAGCATCAGCAGTATACACCCTCACCTGTAACTCCTGGGATTTACGGGCTTGCTCCTGCTTGATGCTGCTGATCATGCTTTCTTTTACGTCATCTAATATAGAGTACAAACTATCAAATTCTTCATCTAGTTCTGAAAGTATGTTGGAAGAATTTTCCTGTTTTAAAAAACAAAACAGATTTTACTCAAGAACTATCCAACGTTTAAAAATTAAAAAGGCATAAGCAAAGGGAAGAATAAAATCCTATCATAAACTACCTTACTCTACAGCAGTGAATCTCAAGCTTTCTAATACTGAGATCTTTAATACAGTTCCTTATGTAGTGATGACCCCCAACCATAAAATTATTTTTGCTGCTTTTCATAACTTTAATTTTGCTACTGTTACGAATCATAATGTAAATATCTGATATGCATGATATCTGACATGTGGCCCATGTGAAATTGTCATCCAACTTCCATAGTTTGAGAACTATTGCTCGAACAGAAAAATAATAAACTTTAGCATGTGACTTCAGGCCATAATAAAAGACTGTTTGCCCCAACCCAGGCTGTTTCCTTAAGCATTGCTCTCCCCCACCTGAGTCCTGTGCTGCTACATCTATGTTGTATTTTTGTCTGCTTCTTCAACCAAGTCCTATCATTGGCATGCCCCTCAGCGTTATGTAGGGTAAAAGAAATGGTTTGTTTCCACTACTTTGAAAAGGCACCATTTGCTCTTAATTGGAATTAGTAAAGAACAAGACTTGAATACTTGCTTGTAAACACGATGTCAGCTGTCTTTGCCCCTCAGCAATTGCTTTCCCTGCACAGAATGCAGGCATGACACAGAAGTGATCTACTCTTCTGTCCTTTGAAGACCCCATCCCCAGCTGCATCACGTTATACTCATAAGTCGATGCACTGTTATTTAAACTTCAGATTTTACTAGCAATCATTCAGCTATACAATTTTTGATAGAAATGTTCATACCTGCACTCCTTTCAGAGTGTGATTTAGTGTATCGATAAAGTTCTGAATCTCGTCGTTCTTACTTGCCAGGGTTGAAATGATTCTTTGTAGAGCTTCCTAGGATTGAAAACAATAAATTATCTTCTCATACAAGATGAGCTTGAATCTCACAACAGTTCTAATTGCTTAATAACTCCACTAGCAATAATGGAGGGAAAACTCAGTAAAAATCAAATACGAGTAATTTTCCTGTATAATATTTCCCAGAAGCATGGGATGCTTTTCTGTAAGTAACTACAAGCTTAACTACTAGTAAAGCCGGTAAAGGATCAAGGTTTTCTTCAACATCTAGTTGGACAATGATAAAAAAGGCTATATATAAAGTACCTAGGAAATGAAATAAGAGGAGAATCCATGCAGCCTTAAAGAAAACCAAGGACAGTTACAGCAGATCTCATTTCTTTTTTTTCTCTCACAATCCCTGGTGATGAGGAGGCATTATCATCCTTGGGCTTACTCTCAGGGTTCTCTGCTTTCTTCACTGACTGACACCATTTTTTCCCATCCATTATCATCCTTCGGTATTTTAAAACAATACAATGAAGTTGTGCTACACAAAGGTCTATGGGCACCAAGAGTTAACTGTTAAACCTGTCCATGCTCTTCCCAGAACTATGTATACAGATCTGAATGGCAGGATGCAGCCAGAACTCTGAGAAGGGGCAGGCACAGTTAGGGGCCACAGTGTTTCTAAAGAGATGTAAAAAGGAGACCCAAGACTTCCATGTATGTGCCAGAGTCTGTCTCTCCAGGTATTTAAAGCAAGAAAAGTAATACACCATTCTCTGGCTGCTTACAGGAGGTGCCAATTAATATGACCTGGTTCTTTCTGGTTAATGGACTGCTGCTGCCTCCCCCGGCTCCTCACAAGGGCAAGTGCTATAGATTATTAGTGTTGCAATGTTCCTTAGAGACCCTTGTCTTAAAAGTTATTCCTCAGAGTGGCATTGCTGGAAGGTGCTGGAATCATTAAGTAGAGGCTAGTAGATCACAGGGGTGTGCTCTTGAAGGGAGGGAGCAATCTCTTCTTCTCTCTCATTTGATCTGCAGCTATGAGGTGAGTTTTGTTCCATCACATGAATCATGCCATGATGTTCTGTCCTTTCCACAGGTCCAAAGGCAATAGGGCCAAAGACAGCCAGGGACTGAAACCTTTGGGCTCAAATACCCTCTTCTAAGCCAATGTACATTAGCACTCCAGCAAGGGGAACCTGAGTTCATCCACCTTACACAAGGTAAGAATGTGGAAACTTAATTAGCAGCTGGAGAGAGATAGTCGATTCAGTTGTATTCCAAAGCCCATGCTCTCAACCACGTTAGAATACTTTCTCTAAACCCATCTCATTTGTGTCATTTGGTACGCCATCTGATGAATTTAATTAAATATTCTTTAATATTTGGTCTGTTATATTTTTAATGGCACAGACAATTTCTGGAACTTCATAGTGGAGACTCACATTGAACTTAAGCACTATTTACTGTCAAGCACATGTGGCAAACTGTAGGGTTACTTGAAGATGCTGAGACTGCACCAGAACAGAGGTAGAGGAGTCTTCAAGAGGCTATCTTGGTTCATGGAAAAGATGCACCAGGTGCCAAAAGGATGCAGCCCAACAACAATGTTCCAATAATCATGATCTGTATGTGCTCAATAAAAACGGAAGTAAAAGTGCACACAGTGGTACACAAAAGGAGCAAATCTCTGAGAGCAAGGGCACTCCCACTCAAATGCTTCCGCGTTTTTACTTAACTTAGGAGCAAATTTGAAGAGTTTTATAACTAGAAGTCTGGGAACAGATGTATATTGCCTTGGCTATATAACCTATGAGCTCCATGGACTTTTTTCCAATGAAAAGTTTGCTTTTTTTTTTTTTTTTTTAAGCTCCTGTTATTTACCGATACAGTCAAATATACCTAAATACTCTATTTTTTATCTCGCCTTCATAATAAGTCCTCTACATCATTATGAGTTACCCTCCTGCTGAAAATTGTCTAAACTGGAGTTAGAGGTCAGAATGCAGCCGTTACCAGCTGCAGTGTTCTCATTCTTAGACCAGCACTGTGCAACAGAAATAGTGTGAGCCAATTGTTAGCCACAGCAGAAAAGTAAAAGAGAAACAGGTGAAATTCATTTTGATATTTTACTTAACCTAATTTATCTAAAATTGTATCTTTCAGCTTATAGTAAATATTCAATCAGTATATAGCCAGGCATGGTAACACACACCTGTAGTCCCTGCTAGAGGTTTAACAGAGGATCCTGTTTTAAGAGAGCATTAGTAGGGGCTGGAGAGTTGCTCAACAGTTAAGTGAACCTGTTGCTCTTTTCAAAGTTCGATTCTGAGCACCCACACAGTGGTTCACAACCACCTGTAACTCCAGTTCTAAGGGATCTGATGCCTTCTTCTGACTCAGCAGGAACTAAGCAAGCATGTGGTGCACATAAATATATGCAGGCAAAATACTCACACAATACAAAGTAAATAAATCTAATTTTTAAAATTTAAAGAGTATCTACTTCTTTAAACTCCAATGTGCATTTTCAGCTTCAGCTTCTAGCATATCTCAATTCAATTAGTCTCATGAGCCCAGATGTGAGGTAAAACAACTTTACAAATCTATGCTATACAGGCAGGCCACAATTTCCTCAGAGTAGAAAGAGTTCAACTATTAATTTGTAATTTAAAATAAACAGTCTAAATATTCCCTCAACATGTTTCTTAGATAAAGAAGACATTCCTTATGCTTATATCATGCCAGCTTCTTGAACTCCAAGTACCTGTGTGGATATAAGTTGAAATGATCAAACCAACTTCCTTTCCTGCAGTTTCAGAGTTTCTCTAATTTCTAAGTTTTTATTTGTGTATTACCACTAGAAGAAGGAAAGCATTAAAAAGTTATTAGCTCTCAAAAGAAATGGTGTGGATGCAGTGTTCCTCTTGAAGAATCTTAGAAGCCACCACAACCAAGGGGGGAAAAATTAAGAGACTTTGCCAGTAAAACGCACACTACTCACCAATGTTTTTCATTAGAGAGGAATTTTAGGAGATCACAGAGTAAAATAGAAACTGTCCAAAAATAAGACTACGCCCAGGGACAGCTGCCATGTGAATTATCAAACTCAAAGTCCCACCCGGATAATGTCTATTTTGTATTCTACTGTTCAATACCTCCAAAAATAGAATCTTTAGATTAAAATTAATCTTATTTTTTTACCATTTCCATTCAATTCATTTGAAATTCTTGCTATTATTAGAATAAGAATCAAAGGCCCTTTTCAAACTGTATTGGTCTGGGAAGGGCTACAGCAGCCTTTTGGAAAAGATGGTCTACCATTATGGTGCCAAATGGCAGGAACTACCTAAAATTACTTTTACCAGGAAACAGTTTGGGAAAATGGTCCTTAAAGGTAAACTATTTCTGGAAAACAGTCTTATCCTTTGAAGGCAGAACCTCTCAGACTCACATTTCAATTTAACCTGAACACACCAGCTCAGCGGGAAGGAGAGGAGCGGCTTTAGCTTACTGGTGATGTCAGACTAGGTGGCAAGAGCTTTGCACAGAGACCAGACAAGCCGACTCTATAGGGCATTAGAGCCTTTGAATGTAAGATCATGTTTATTTTCAAAACCACTGTGACAGGTTTGGTGTGTTTTTGAAGATGGATTTTTTGTTTTGTATGTATTTGAGTGTTTTGCCTGACCCTCTGGACCCACTTGCCTATGGAGGCCAGAAGAGGTTGTTGGATCCCTTAGAACTGGAGTTACAGCTGTAAGCCACCATGTGGATGCTAGAGACCAAATTTTAGTCCTCTGCAAGAGCACTGAGTGCTCTTAACCACCAAGACATTTCTCCAGTCCTGTGTGGGTTCATTTTAATTGTCAAATTGATACAATCTAGACTCACCGGGAAAGGGGTCTGATGAAGGTCTTAGATTAGACTGGTCTGTGGAGGATTATACTGATTATATTAATTGATGTGAGGACCCACCCAGTGTGGGAGGTATCATTCCCTGGTCAGGGTTAGGAGTAAAGAAATTGAATAAATGATGCACCAATTCACTACTCTCTGCTCCTGATTATGTCATGTGACAGCTGCTTCCAGTTCCTGTCACCTTGACTCCCCACACCAACAGACTGTAAGGCCTAGGATTGTGGGTTCAATACGCCCTTCTTAAGTTGCTTTTGTCAAGGCATTATTATCTCAGCAACAGGAAAGGAATCTAATACAGTTATCGGGCACAATATAAACTGCAGCAAACACCTAGATCAATAACATAAACCCAAAGGAACCAATGTGACATTGACAGCCAATGCAGATGGAGTACTGCTTCTACATTTAATATCAAGAAAGTTCCCCAAGGACAAACTGCTGAGGAAAAGGGCCCAGAGTCTCTGATTCCACCCGCCCTTTAATCTGTCATCATGGAGAAGCTGAGTGACTGCTAAGGACTCTGGCCAACAGTTTATACTCAGTTTAATAAATGAGTTCAAGCTCCACAGGAAGTATTGAGAATTAAATTATGAAGGGCACCATTCTGCTCCAAGAATAGGACTTTCTGAGTCCACAGGGATGCAACAGAACACAGAAGAATCCGGAGTACAGTAGGACAGAAAGTCAAAACATTTAAGATAAACTACAACCATCTCCAAAGTATACTTTAAAATCCCTAAAAGATATCATGTGAGCTGACTCTGGAAGTGTAACCTTGGTGTCTGTATCAGACAGACAACAGTTTTCTCTAGGTGACAGGGCCCAGGGAGGAGGAGTACACAGGGATAGTATGTGACTGACTACTCTGGAACCCAGGCTAGGAGAGAGCCGAATCAGCAGTGCTTCCAATTGTTTGTTTTTAGGGAGTTTCTAAACTTAAGAGACAACATGCCGGGACAGATATAAATATGTTCTGTATTCAACTACCCCAGTTGCTCTCTCCAGAACATCAAATTTCAGCAATAGTTTTTTGTTTTGTTTTGATAACAGGAACACAAACTAACTGACAAAGTGAGGCAGACGTGCAAAGCCTGTGGCTGCCACAGATGTGAGAGGGACTGCGC